AATTAGTGGGGAGGACCTGGAAAAAATTATATTTATTTAAAAGGATCCTAAATATTATAATTATTTAGAGGGATCACAAACTAAAAATATAAACGTTAAAATACTAAATTGCCCATAATCAACTCCCTACATCATCTATAGATATATATCCACAGCATTTAATAGTTACAAAATGGATATTGATGTATGTCAAACAAAAATCATATATTTATAGATAAAATAAAAATATAAATCAAATTGAAAATATTTTTGTTCGGAGACTTGGTTATCGCACTTCACTATGAAAGACCTTTCTCCTTCAAGAGACAAACCGCCTGTCCATTAATTCTTTGATGCTCATGCAACTTATGACCCTTCACTATTCATTCTAATTGTGCGGTATCGACTGTTCAACAAATATTGACTCTTCAATATTTCATCTTTAGTATTGATCTAACTATGCTATGTTTTAAAGCAAGTAATACAGAGCTTTCTTTGTTGTTTGAATGATGACGATGATGATGATGATGATTCAATAACTTAATATTCAAAATTAAATAAATTAAAAGTTTTTCTGACATTTGAAACCTTTAATCGGTGCAAAAAATAAGGCGTGTTTTGACAACCACCGCATAGAGAAAAATAAGTTGGGTTGAAATAGGGTAAAAGCGCATTCAATATTCAAATAACCTCAAGCTAAATCTTATAGAAAGGGACTAAATCAATTTAAAATTTAAGAGCACATAAATTAAATAGGACTGGAGGGAGTGAGATTCAAGAACAACATGAGACTCTATGATTGACTGTATATGAGGTTCACGTGCTAACGCTTGAAACTTGCGAAGTTGAATTTTTATGAAATTAGATGTCGTTAATTTTATTATGCAAAATACTTATTTCAAGTTTTTTATATTAATTATGTCAAGTTGTTCTTAAGTTGTGCATGACTATGTGTCCCATCTTTAAAATACAATCATTTAATTATACACTCACATAAATTTCAGATTAGCCACATCTATCAATTTTTCATCAGTTATTTTGTTGCAAAATTGGTATTGGTTATCCTTAAAGTTTACAATAAACATTTTAGTCACTAGTCTCTGCTGCTAATCATTTTGTGATGGAACTAGCACTAAAAAATTACCATTGCTAATTTTTGTCCCTAACTATTCTGTGATAAAATACAATGAAAATTTTTCTTCATTTAATTTTTGTTGCAAATTTTTTTCAATGGATTAATAACAAAATTTATTATCACTAATTTTAGCGATGTATTAGTGATAGAGTTGACATAAAATAAATTTTTGTTAAAAAATTTCCTCACTAGTTTGTCAAGGAAGGCATCTACCTTTTGAAACTGAATTGAATTGATGAGGAGGAAGCAAATATAGGTGGATAATTACAGGAGGGAAATATTGCCCCGGAAAAATTAGACAATTTTTCAATTTTAAACAGGATCTTATTTTTAATGATAGTTGTATGCATTCAATTTTTCAATGGAAATATTGCCCGGAAAAAATAGCGGAATCATTTCAGCATAGCCAAGATCGCCTTATTCGCCAGACAATACCTCTTCTACTTCTATGTGTTAGAAATAATATTCTAGCTGTATATTAGCTGGCATAGTTGAATCAAGTTGTTTCTGTTGTAACCGTCAGATTAGTTAGCACAGTGACACGTGTACAAGCCTGATGGCTATATAAAGCTGTAATTTACACATTAATAATAATCACATTCAGATTCTTTATATGGTATCTAGAGCCACAGAACGATCCATGGCTTCTCCGTCTTCGCTTCCAATCGTTTCTTCCTCTGATTCAGTTGTTGCTTTCTCTCATTCCATTTCGGTCAAGCTTGACGATTCCAACTTTCTCATCTTGCGGCAACAAGTTCTTAGTGCGGTGAAAGGATATGCTCTCGAATCATTTCTTGATTCATCAATTGCTTCGCCTGAGCAATTTGAACTTCATGATGATCAGTGTGTTGCATTTACCTCTGAATATACAAGGTGGATGCGTCAGGATCAACTTCTCATGTCCTGGCTGCTTTCTTCCATGTCCGATTCGGTCCTCACTCGTACTGTTGGATGTGAGACTACTGCTCAGATTTTGGATAGAATCAACATCTTCTTTGCTTCACAGACCAAAGCTAAGGTGAAGCAGCTCAAAACGACTCTGAAAAATACGAAGAAAGAGAATTCGTCTATGAATGAATATCTCTTAAAGGTTAAGGCTAGCATTGATGCTCTAGTCGCAATCGGCTCGCCGGTGTCTCTTTATGATCAATTGGAGTTCATCTTCGATGGTCTCTCTGAGGATTATGATCCTTTCATAACCTCAATCTCCACCAGGCTGGAGCCCTACACTGTAGCTGAAATCGAAGCACTACTCATGGCACAAGAGGCTCGCATTGAAAAGAATCGCCGCTCTGTACCGGCAGTCTCTCCTATTATGGCAAATATTGCTCAAAACCGTGCTCCTCAACAAAGTCGTGGTGATCATAATCGCGGTCGACGAGGAGGAAGGAATGGTGGTCGTGGCAATAACTACAACTCCACTAAGTCAAAGGTGATCTGTCAGCTTTGTGGCAAGACAGGGCACATTGTTTCTTCGTGCTGGTACAGGTTTGATGAATCTTTCCAAGGTCTTTCTATTTTTGATTCGTCTTCTTCCACGGCACCTGCTAAACAATCTGCTCTTATTGCTACTTCTGACACTGTTGCTGATCCATCTTGGTATTTTGACTCTGGAGCAACGAGTCATCTTACTCATGATCCAACTTCTCTAGCTGAATCTTCAAAGTATACTGGACCGGAGCAAGTCCACGTTGGTGATGGTGCAAGTTTGGCTATCAAATCTGTTGGCACCTCTGTTATTTCCAATACTTCTCCTTCTCTTAAACTGAATAACATTCTTCATATGCCACGAATCATTAAGAATTTAATTTCTGTCTACAAGTTCTGTTATGATAACAAAGTCTCGGTTGAATTTGATGAACGACAGTGCCGCGTCAGGGATCCTAAAACTAAGCGAATTCTCTATCAGTGCAATGTCAAAAATGGGATGTACCCTGCGTTGGACCTCAAGTTCAAGCCTCATTCTGAAGCTTGTTTCTCTGCTGTAGTTTCAAATACAAGTTGTTCTACTGACACTTCTTGTAATTCCTTTCTGCTTTGGCACAATAGACTTGGACATCCGTCCTCCTTGGTTGTTTCCTCTGTTATGAAGAACTGTAAAGTGCCTCTCAATAAGATTGCTACTTCTGATTTCTGTAAAGCTTGTATACTTGGGAAATCACATAAGCAACCCTTTCCCTATTCCGATACTGTGTATGCTGCACCTTTTGATATGATATATTCTGATATTTGGGGACCTTCCCCTGTTAAAACTCGTGATGGTTATCTCTACTATATTCATTTTACTGATGCTCGAACCAGATTTACATGGATCTATCCTCTGAAACTTAAATCAAATGCCTTTGTTGTGTTTCAGCAATTTGTTGCCTTTGTTTCAACTCAATTTAATACTACCATTAAGATTTTTCAATCAGATGGTGGTGGTGAATATCATCGGTTCACCAAATTTCTTGCTGATCGTGGCACAATCCATAGACAAAGTTGTCCTCATGTTCATGAGCAGAATGGTGTCGCTGAGCGCAAACACCGACATATTACTGAAGTTGGTCTTACGCTACTGGCTCAAGCTTCTCTACCTCTCTCTTACTGGTATGATGCTTTTGGAATGGCAGTATCTCTTATCAATATTCTTCCCTCTTCAGTTCTTCAAGGGAAAACGCCCTATGAAACTTTATATTCCAGGGCACCTGATTATGGCAGACTTAGAGCCTTTGGTTGCTCTTGTTTTCCATTAACTCAACCATATAATCTTCACAAGTTTGACTATAAGTCTTCTGAACGTGTTTATCTTGGACCTAGTTCTACACATAAAGGCTACAAGTGCCTATCATCTTCTGGCAGAATTTATATTGCTCGGGATGTTGTTTTCAATGACACCTCTTTTCCCTACCCTAATCTTTTTCTCACAAATACCAAATCTACTGTTTCTTCACCTATTAGCTTTACTTCTGTTGCCCCATGCACTGTTCCTGTATACTTACCCACTTCTCCACCCTTATCTTCACGTCATATTCTTTCACAGCAGCCTTCACCTCAACCTCAACCTTCACCAACCTTTACTACACCTCAATCTTCAGCTTTCACATTACCTTCACCTTCTCCTCGTCCTAGTCCTTCCCAACCTCTATCTCAGTCTCCCTCCTCACCATCTTCTTCTTCCCAGTCTTCTCCTTCTCCACCTCCTAAATCTTCTCATCCCATGATTACACGATCAAAAACTGGAAACTTAAAACCCAAAGTTTTTGCTGCTACTGTTACTTCTGAACCAGATTCTATCTCTGCTGCCCTTCAATCTTCCCATTGGCGAACAGCAATGGAAGAAGAGTTCACTGCTCTACAAAGAAATAAGACTTGGTCACTTGTACCTTTACCTGCTGGGCGACAAGCTATAGGATGTAAATGGGTCTTCAGAACCAAAGTCAATCCTGTCAATTCTTCTCTCAAGTATAAAGCACGGCTGGTTGCTAAAGGATTTCATCAGCAAGAAGGGTATGACTTTCATGAAACCTTTAGTCCAGTTATTCGACCTATCACTATTCGTATAGTGTTAAGTATTGCATTGTCTCAAAATTGGCACATTCATCAAATTGATGTGAATAATGCATTCTTAAAATGGCTATCTGAAGGAGGAAGTATATATGGTTCAGCCTCCAGGATTTGAAAGCAGAGATAAAACTTTGGTTTGCAAGTTAAATAAGGCTCTTTATGGTCTTAAACAAGCTCCAAGGGCTTGGTTTGAAAGGCTTGGTAGTGCTCTTATGAATATGGTTTTCAAGCTAGTAGATGTGATCCATCACTTTTCATTCGCTCTACTTCCAGTGAATTATTATTTGTTCTGGTCTATGTTGATGACATTATTATCACTGGTTCTTCTCAGACCAATATTATGACTCTTATTGCTAATTTGGATCATGAGTTCTCACTCAAGGATCTTGGCCCGTTGAGTTATTTTCTGGGTATAGAAGTTAAGAGGTATAAAGATGGCTCTCTTCACTTGGTTCAAACCAAGTACCTTAAAGATATTCTGTCTCGAGCTGGTATGGTCAATACGAAAGGAGTAGTTACTCCTATGACAGTGGGTCTCAAGCTTTTTAAACATGGATCAGATGTTATGATTAATCCACAGCTCTATCGATCTATTGTAGGAGCTCTTCAGTATGCAACGATCACTAGACCAGAAATAAGTTTTGCAGTCAACAAGGTGTGCCAGTTTATGCAGAATCCACTCATGAGCCACTGGAAAGCAGTGAAACGTATCCTACGATACATAGCAGGTACATTAACTCATGGCATAATTCTTCGGCCTTGCACCAATCGAGCGATTACAGCATATTGTGATGCTGACTGGGCCTCTGATTGTAATGATAGACATAGTACTACAGGGTTTTGTATCTATTTTGGTACTAATCTAGTTGCCTGGTCATCTAAGAAGCAGGCTACCATGGCAAGATCAAGTACAGAGGCCGAATATAGAAGTATGGCCTCCACTGTTACTGAAGTATTATGGATAAAGTCTCTACTTCAAGAGTTACGTGTTGCACTTTCTGGACCTGCACGAGTGTTGTGTGATAATCTCAGTACTGTAATGATGACAGCAAATCCTATCTTGCACGCTCGAACAAAACATATTGAGTTAGATCTTCATTTTGTAAGGGAGAAAGCAATAAAGAAAGAATTTATTGTGCAGCATATTCCTAGCCAAGATCAAGTTGCCGACGGGATGACAAAGGCTTTGTCTCAAAGCACATTCCTAGATTTTAAACGATATCTATGTATATCAGATAATGATATATCAAGTAGCTCAAAGGGGTAGTTTGAATTGAGGGAAGATGTTAGAAATAATATTCTAGCTGTATATTAGCTGGCATAGTTGAATCAAGTTGTTTCTGTTGTAACCGTCAGATTAGTTAGCGCAGTGACACGTGTACAAGCCTGATGGCTATATAAAGCTGTAATTTACACATTAATAATAATCACATTCAGATTCTTTATACTATGAGAGTTTTCTTCTTCTTGTTTTTTTTTCCCTAACCAGGTGAGAGTCTTTATTTTTCTACAAAAAATTATTAATAATTAAAATAAATCCATCTAAATATCAAATGCAAAAAAATTGATTAATAAATAATTGTTCTTTTAATTGAATATACAATGTTGGCCCCAAAAAGAACTCAATGTACAATGGGTTCATCTTCTTTTTTTTTCCCTTCTCTTTATGTTTTTTGAAGGAAAAAGAGTTATTTCAACTTCAATTGAATATACAAAAATTTGTGCCTTACATGAGTAAACTAAAATTTTTCATTAAATATTTTTGGTAGTTACAGCAAATTAATTGGCAAAAGCAATGGGTGGGATTGGAATTCGGATCTGCGTGAAAAAGTGATCCACAACTATTTATGACATTATAAGATTTTATTTAAGGAAAAAGGCACGAGAATATCTCCCAACTCCAAATCTTAATTTAGCATTTTGGAATGGCCTGCTCATTTAACAAATCATTAAGGGTCTGCTTGATACGAGAAAAATAGAGAGAAGGGAAAGGGATAAAAATTTTCATGAGCTCATTTTAAAAAATTACAGAAATGGGATTATAAGATTTTGATAAAAAGATGTAATATAAAAAGGAAAGAAAATTTAATTAAAACATTTAAATCCCACTTCTTCAATATTTCAAAACGAGCTCATCAAAATTTTTCCTCTCTTTTCCTCCCCTCCATTTTCTTCATACCAAACGGACCCTAAATGACCACAGCAACAAACTCAACGACAATAAATTCCAAAAAATACACCTCATGTCTAAGTGTTTGCAGGTTATTAAAAGTTGGCAAAAGAAAAAAGGTAGGTTGTCACAAATGTATGACAACGTTGATCTAACAAATCTCAACTTTCACTTCGCTGTGCGATGTTAACATCCAACATATCTTAGTGCTTGTTAAAAAAATAATTATGCTTGAATGATTAAACTAACTTTTTAATATAATATTGTCCGTAATTTATGCTAATAATCCCTTTAAATCTTATCCTTATCTCTCTCTGAAAAAAGTTGATCAACAAATTCAACATAACATATATAAAAAATTAAATTAGCAACAGAATTTGACAAAATTTGTATGTTCCATCGTGAAAAAGACTGTCACTAATAAGTTAGTGACATAATTCTGTCACTAATTTCTTTTCTTTTTTTTTAACTGAAGTCCATAGTTCATTTCATCTCAAACTAAAATCTTGAAGCAAAAAACACTGAAAGACGTTGAGAACATATATGCTAATTTCCATGAGCCGCCGAAACAGTTCACACAAAAATATTATGTTGAAAGACTATGATCAAATCAATTATTCAATTGTGACTTTAATTAAATTAACCTCATAATTGCCCATTATTAGTCCCATGTTGTTCTTAAATCTTGATATTTATAATGGCTTCTGTCCTACTATTAGGCACATTTAACCAAAAGCAATACAGCTCATTAATATATATTTTCATCCTTATTATCTTTTTTTTCCTTAAGTTATATTTGGGCTTCGGAACAATTCAATATTTGTTGGATAATATCATCAACACACATATATAATTATTCTACCTTTGAAAGTTGAAACAAATCATCAAGTTGATTAGAAGAGAATCACAACCTCAATCAAGTTAGACTCATTATCTACATAAAATGGAAATACAACCTTTATAAAAGCATTTTGTGAGTCCCACCTGGTCAGTCTTTATTTCGGAGTTAAATAATGATCAAGTTTTTATTTATTTTATGCTTTGCTGGTGTCTTGAGATTTGCCTTCATCATACATACTGCTGGTCAATTAATAATGCAAAACCTTGTTAGAGATGGGGAAAATATATATATATATATATATATATATATAGTTGAGCGATGAAGATGATTTGATGTACGATATTCTTCCCTTCCTTACCGATTAGGCATAAATTTGATTCCCCCCCCCCCCTCATTTCCAACTATAATTAAATGATTTGGTTTACGTGTGCCTTGTGATAGGATAGAGGCCATTACATGAGACTACATAATGAACAATATATGAGGTTAATTTAATTAAGGTCACATTTAAAAAAATTAATTCAATCAATGTTTTTGATTTTTTTTAAAGAAAAAATCGGCATCTCATGAAAATAATATATTTTATTTCTTTAATCTAAGATAAGATGAAGTGGCTCAATGCGCAGAGAGGATGAGATGACACATGCGTTTTAACTTATTAGTTGAATTTGTTGATGTACTTTTCTAAAGAGATCATGATTATAGTATTATAATATTAATGAGATTTAAAGAGATCATTAACATCAATCACGAGCAATATAACTAAGAAGTTACTTTAATTATAGTATTTCAACATAATATTTTTTTTTATAAGGACTAGGTCATTAATAACACTTAAAAATAATGACAGTTAATTTTACAAAAATTTAGCTTTGCATGACAAAGTGAAAATTGTGATTTGCTAGACTAAACTTAGGCATTGATTATTTTTCAGCAATATGCTAAAACTTATAACGTCGGAAGTGGAATTTTGTGAAATTAGTTGTCATTAATTAATTTTATTATTAATGTCATTTCATAAAAAAAAAGAGTTTAATTTATTAAACTAAATTTGTAATTGAGCAGTTATGACATGAGAAGTGTTTTCCTTTTGCAGATTTTAACTTAAGACCACCCAAGTAATTTTGTTTCAAAATTTAAGTTCATACCATAATTTATAAAGTGACTTGAATTTCGGAAAAAAAACAAAAACAAAAACAAAAACAAAGCGAAGTTAACAAAATTTTTCAAAGACGCGGCAAAACCTTTCATCGTACTAAATTTTCTTCTATCAGTTTTCTTATACTTTTTTTTTGTGGTTCTAAATACGAGTTATTAATGACTAAGCTTGTACAAACCAAATGAAATAAGCTAAAATTAGATAAGCTTGCTATTAAATTTTTTGTAAAACAATTTTTTCTACACTTACTCATTAATTAATGGCTGACAATTTTTGGTGAATTTTAAATATATCCCTCTCATATATTTTGGAAAGGGACGTTCTAAGGAATAAAAATGCATTTAATCAATAAAACGAGAAACTTTGGCAATGATGTGTGTGTGATGACAGATGGATAATGAAATGATATAGAATAATCTTCCCTTCCTTATAAGAGGACACTTTTGACAAAACAAAGATAATTTTATTTAAATCATCAAGTGAATATTAATTACCTTTAATATTAGCACCCATTAAAGTCTGATGCAACTTCTTTAATAATCTTTGAACAAAAACATTTTCAATTTGATTTATATTTTTATTTTATCTATAAATACTATATGATTTTTGTTTGACATATATCAATCTCCATTTTGTATCTGTTAAACGCTGTGGATATATATTTTCAGACAATTTAGGGAGTTGATTATGGGCAATTTAGTATTTTAATATTTATATTTTTAGTTTTTGATCCCTCTAAATAATTATACTTTTTAGGATCCTTTTAAATAAATATAATTTTTTCTAGTTCGCCAAACTAATTTTCCCAGCTATTATAGTTCCTGATATGTGAAATCTTTAATTGGCGCAAGAAATAAGACGTGTTTTGACAACCACTACATAGAGAAAAATAAGTTGGGGTGAAATAGGGTAAAACCTCAAACTGAATCTTATAAACAAGGACTAAAATTAACAGCACATAAATTAAATAGGACCGGAGGGGGTGAGATTTAAGAACAACATGAGACTCTATAATTGACAATATACGAGGTTCAAGTACTAACTTTTAAAACTTGTGAAGTTGAATTTTTATGAAATTAGATGTCATTAATTTTATTACGGAGAATGCTATATCAAGTTCCTCATATTAATTATGTCAAGTTCTTTAGTTATACATGATCATGTGTTCTATTTTTAAAATATTATCATTTAATTATAAACTCACATAAATTTCAACTTAGCCACATCTATCAATTTTTCATCATTTATTTTGTTGCGAAATTGGAATTGGTTATCCTTATTTATAAGGGAGTAAGGGAGAGATATAGAGTAATAACAAGAGAAAATATAAAAGAGAATATTGTATGCCAAGTTGTTAATCTTTTAATTAATGCCATGTATAAAATTAATTAGAAAAAATGATAAAAACAAATTAAATGTTCAGACAATCCAAGTGAGCTCTTATAAAAATGACAAAACAATTTAAATTTCAGGCTCATATAAAAACAAGCCGGCGGAGTATTATTTTTAGATGAAATTGAACTCATGCATAGGAGGGTTCATAAAGAAGACAGGAATGAATTCATTGGTCCCCGTGGATTTAATTAAGTTTTTAGATTTATTTTATTTTTGCCAACAAGTTTTTAGATTTATATATTCAGATTAGGGTGGATTTCACGACTCAAAAAGAAGAAAAAAACTCTAAAGTACCTAAGAAGTTTTTTTTGGACACAAAATACCTACAAACTATCTAGCAACATAATTCTCATAGTAATAACGAGATTTTCACTGACACTAGGTATAAAGTATAAACTGCATCCTTTAGGAAGCAGATACTATTTAGGGAAAATGACAATAAAATACCACCTGAATTTCAAAAAGACAAATAAGGCACCTAAATAAGCAAAATGACATATAGGGGACTGGGTACCAATCTGGAATTCAGATTTTTGGCCAAAAGACCAAAATGCCCTGTCTGAAAGTGAGAGGAAGGAGATAGGAAGGAGAGAGGAAGACACTGATGAAATACGGGAAGGAGAGAGGAGGAAGACGCTGATGAAATCGGGAAGAAGAGAGGAAGGAGAGAGGAAGACGCTGATTTTCGATGGATTCCCACAG